GCTGACTCTTTCCCTCTCACAGGAAGGGGAGCATCTTGCTGGGTGCTGCCAGCATGAGCAGGGAGCAATGGGGTGCCTGCAGCTGAGGGTGCTCAGAGCAGAAGCCTTGCATCACTTGCCTCACAATTGCCCCCATGGTTCCCAGTGGAGCACATAGCGTGTGAGATAACATCAGCTGCAGACAGTTGATGACAAGGGGAGTGTAGGTGTCTGAGAGGTTTTAAAGAAAACAACAGAGAAAGTTTGTTCTTATCCAAGCGGATTTCCTGGAGCGATGAGTGAGCCTGGCATGTTTCCACTCTACCTTTGGCATATGCCTGTACATCTGGCAGGCTGACACAACCTCATTCATTCTAGTGAGAAAGAAGCAGTTGCCCTTAAAAGTACTGTGTTAGAGCCTGCTCTGTCCCTGCCTCTGCTGCAGCAGCCCCTGGTCTTGTGCCCCCTCCAGGGCAGTTCAGTGGGAAGGAGCAGGGAAGAAGGAACCTCCATGGGAGCATCTTGCTGCTGTCACCTTGGTATGCCCTGCCTGCTGTCTACGCTTGCTGCTTTGAGCCAAAACTGTCTCCTACCACAGGCAGATCCAGTAAGTCAGACCCTTGGTAACCCCTCATATTCCTGTGCTCATTTGTGGCTGTGAGAGGCCACACAAGCCCTTTGCCATTTTGCTCATCACCAGGAATCCTAATAGGTCTTCTTTGCTTTAGCCACCTCGGAAAATGGTTTTCCTTTGTTTTAAATGAACTTATGTCCTGACACTGAGCCAGCTGCTAGAACTATTTTAGGATGAGGATTACCAGGATTAGATAGGAAGAAAGTATGTTGTATTATAGCTGTTTGCTGACAGCCCTGTTTAAAACCAAAAGCAGCCATCTAGTTCTCTTGGAAACCATTCCATTCATGTAACCTCTGCATCCCAAGGCTTTCATTCCAGCCTGCCGCCGCCTGGGTTTGATCCATCCGTGAGTAAAGCCTGACACCTGGTGGCCGCACTCGAGCTTGGCAAGCTAGGACCCCTGGTAGCAAACCGTTCCCAGGGTCAGTGGCAGGTGGTGATGGATACAGAGCCATGCCAGGAGATAAACAGGGGCTAAATAATTACCTTAGCAGCTTTCTGCCTCCTAGCTGCACTCATGTCCCCGAGCCACTGGGAGGAGAACCCAGCCTGGGGCAAACCTGCTGGCCTGGTCTCAGTTTAGGAAATCTGGGGTCAGCATGATTGAGAAGGGCACCAGCACCAGCTCTGTCTTTGGCCCCAGCATGGCTCCAGTGCAGAGCCAAGAAGCCCAAGAACACTCTGGTTTCCTGATGTGGATGCTGAACTTGCCTTCCTCAGGATCATCACATGGCTCCCTGCTGTAAGACAGGGTGTTTAGAATTTCCTGCCTTGCCTATAGCCCTGCTGCACCTGACAAACTGTCAGGGAAGCTCTGGGAGTTCCTCTTTGGTGATGGAACTCAGATGAGAACCTTCCCACTCTGTGTAGTCCTCTTGTGCTGTCTTGGATGCCCTCAAGCACCCCTGAGTTGCAGGGAGTGCAGAGCCAGGCACATACCCGTGCTGCTCTGCTCATTTTCATCGGGACATTTCAAGGCACAGCCAGGGACTCACACAAAAGCCAGGCTGTCCTGCCCTTGTGTAAATGAAGGCAAGAGGGGAGTCAGCAATGGCTTGTTCCTGCAGTGTGGGGCTGCTGCTGTGAGCTGTGTGCTCAGTGCCAGCCCTGGCCGCTGGGAAGCACGTCTGTCTGTCTGTCTGTCTGTCTGTCACGCAGAGAGATAGGATCTGGCTGCAGGGGCTGCACCTGCTGACACGGCTGGGCTCCCACTGTGCTGTGCCTCAGGTCTCACTGTGAGCAGGGCTCATTTGTTTCCTTTGGTGCTGAGCTCATCTGTCACTGCTGTCCCAGGGTTGCTGTGAGGCCACTCTGTAACACTGACCCCAGAGCACGTTTTTTCTCAAGGACCTTCCCGTGTGTAGAGGCAGCAGCCCGAAGGGCCACATCCCTTCTTGATTGGCACTGCTGATTGCAGCATTTCCCTGCAGGCAGGAGGGCTGGCTGTCCTGGGGTCTGCTACAACAGTGCTGCCTGCCAGCAGCGGTAATGACCCCTGACTGCCCCTCCTTGCCCAGCAGTGACACTGGGAGCCTCAAGGCACAACACTGCCCCAGTGGTATTTTCAGCCTTGGCCTGACCTTCACATCAGCCTCAGCTGATGCCATTGCAAAGCCATTGCATCACCATCTGCTCCCAGTAGGATGTCCTTTATCAAGAACAGTGTCATGAGGTTATTGGTTTCTTACAGAAGTGATAAGACATGATCACAAGCTTGTTCAGACCCAGTTCTTGTTTCTGAAATGTCATTTCAAATAAATGTCATGTTCTAGCATCTGCTTCATGGAGAAAAGGAGCTGGGTATGTACAGTAAAATCCAGAGCCTGCACAGCAGAGTTATAAAATTTGCAAAGAGCAGCTTGGAAGTACCACAACTATATGTCTAGTGACAGATTCACCACCTGCCTCCACAGAGAGGCCCTGTGGGTTTTCAGAAGTCATTTTAGCTGGCTCAGCATACCAGGTGAGCACAGAGACTGGAGCTGTAGGAACCACTTCCCCACAGCCATTTCTGCAAAGGGACACACTGAGGCTGTTCCATGCTGTGTGTTCCAGCAATGCCACACAGGTGTGAGGTACAAATGGATCCAGTGACATGGTAGCCACATCTTCAGGAGCAGCTGAGAGAGGCAGGCAGCTAATGAGCAATCTATTCACAGCAGAGCTTGGCTTTAGAAGCAAAGTGCAAACCTGGCCCCTCACAGGGGCTCTGCTCTTGTTTGGTGGCAGCTGTCCTTCTGCTGCTGTCCATCTGCACATAAATGCACAAAGCTGGGTTAACCCAATCAGCATGCTATTTAAAGGAGGTGCTGCTTGCTGAACACTTGGGCACTCGTGAGGAACAGCAGGAAAGGTCCTGGTTCTCCTCCAGCTCTCTTAGGGGCTAAGGGAAGAACCCTGCAAAGGGACATGGGCAAATGACACTGCAGGGGTACAGGGGCCCCTCACCTACCCCAGGAGGTATTTGCCAGCATTAAATCCCCCTCAACCACCACTCATGGCACTGACAGCTGTCCCAAAGGCTGTTGTGGATAGCTGTGTTCTAGAGACCCCCACACCTGCCTCACCCAGTGCCACACAGGCCAGGGCTGATTGGCTGGCAACCAGTTTCCCCCTCAATTAGTCTCCAGTCTCTCCCCATTCAACCTTCTTCTCATTCCTATGGTTTGAAGAAGGGGAGACAATCTTTCTAGTAAAGTATTCACGAAAAGAACTATCTCTTAGGCTTGTATGCACTGCTGAGCCCTTTGTCAAAAATAAATTCTAGGAAAAACTTCACACAAATAAAGAGGGTTTGGAAGTTTTTGAGCTTGCAGGAGACCAGCAGCTGGCAGAAGCCAGTAACACAGGTCAGGGTGCTTTTGCTTTCCTGAAATCCCTTTTTTGCAAACAACTGTTCCAGAAAACTGTGTAGCACCTGTCTTAAAGAAATGACAAAGCCCTCCCGTGTTCAGACTGAGCAGCACAGGACTGCTCCTGGAAACCCATCATGGAAAGGGTGGATGTGAAGGGACTGCACTGCACTGCCTGGTCTGGAGATGCTGTTTAGGCCCCAGCTGTGCTGTTGGGCACACCCTCATCACTTACTTGCTCTTGCTCTTCTCTCCTGGTGCTCTCTGCAGCTCAGCACCTCCTTCTGTTTCTCGGTATGTGAGCACACATACCAAGCAAAGGAGAAATCTGTGATGGATTTCCCTTCCTGCTGACAGCAGCTGCTTGCCTTGACAGAGACCCTGTGCAAGGGATCTGAACACTGTACAGTGTGAAAAAGGCCCCTGTGTTCATGATAGCCCAGTCACAAAAGGACAAGAAAAGACTCCAAAGAACTAAGAATAAATCTGCTTTGCATGACACAGCCAAGAATGCAGACAAGTGAATACCTCCCTTTGACAGTAATACAGTTATCACCAGACATGTCTCCTATGAGCAGGAAGACAGACCACTAGGATGGTGCAATAAAATAATGCAAAGAACTGGTTTTCTAATTGGGAAAGGCATTTAGAACAGGCTTTTTTACAACCTGTTTCAAACCAGTTTGTCTGTCTCCTGTCTCCCCCACCTTATTCTCTCTTCCTTCCTTTCTTATGATTTTAAACATTTTGAAGTTGCATCCAAAAGGAAGAATTTCCTAAGCATAACACCGCAGAGGACGGCAACAAAAACTTCATTGCAGAGTGCCATCTGGAGCAGAGTCCAGGTCTGGCTGCCAGATAAGCCAGTGCCCTACAGGTAAGGCCAAAGCAGCACTCACATGCCTTTTGCTTTGTAAACAGTATGTGGTGGATTGTTATTACCTTAATCTATCAGTGTAGACTGATTGTAGACGCTCTTACACATATTAAAATGTATGCAGTTAAGTTAGGACAAGAGAATTAAATGAGGACAAAGTAGACATTCTCTTTATTACCAAAAAGAAAAAAAAAGAATTTAATGCATTTACCATTGTGTTTTCTTTTAAAATTTCATCTTTTATTTACTCATAAAGAGCCAATAAGTTATATAAATCATATTTTTCATTTCCTTACTGAAGTAGTCAATAAGATTTTAACTTGGATTTATGCTGACTCAGTAGCACTTTAGCTCGAGTGTACCGGTCTTGGTTTTCCACAGCATTTGTTCACCCCAAGGCTATATCTCTTGCACAGCTTTCAATGAAACCTCTGCCACAGTGTTAGCAGAGCTCTGTGGCTCCCCAGGAGGGGCCAAGTGCAGCCAGGGCAGTGTCCAGGCACACACCTGTGTGCAGGGCCCCTGGACCCCCAGAGCCAGACCCTGGGCTGGTACAGGCCACAGCAACCCTTGTGGCTCCCACTGCTCTTGAGAGGAGGCCACAAACCACACTGAAGCTCCATGCTGAAGGCAGGAGGAATGACTCCATGTGAGAGATGTTAAACCAAATACTTCTGTATTTAATTATGTTAAGAGCTCAAGGAAGTTAAAACCATAGACAAATGCACAGAACCGTCAATGACAATGAACCAAGGCAGCAACATTGTCATTCCCTGCTTGAAACAGTGTGTGAAGCAACTTCTAAACAAGTACAACCTGGGGTATTCATGTAGAACTGAAACTGTGATTTCTGTTTGCTTTACCTAGTACAAAGGATTTTCCAACACTTGAGTAACTTAGAACTAGGCCCATGGTTGTCATTTCCCCAATCTGCTTCCCATAAGCAGATGTTTTCCTTTGTACACCAGTAATAGACTTCTCCCCAAAAACAATGCAATCTAGTTTTCTTGGTAACACACAGCAGCATTCTCATCTTGTTCCTCTTCATCTCCATCCTCATCTTCATCCCCCTGATCTCCAGATTCAGTATCATCTTCATCTTCAACCTGAAATACAAGATCTATTGTGAGCAGTAATACCCCTTATTCTGATCCAACCTATTGAAGGCAAGACATATGCTGAGTGCAAATAAGCTTAAAGATAACCTAAACCAACAATGCCACATCAATTAATGCTTATTAAATGCAACTGTCATCTTACCATGTCCATAGTTCTTTACTTCTCTGCTGAAGAGAGAAGTGGCTGACCACTGGGGACAACAGGCAGTGGTCAGCTTTCTCTGATGGCTGCCAGTAGTAGTTGATAAGTAACTGATGGATTTAACTTGCCTCTATAGAAAGGGGCGTCCCCAGACTTTGTGGATTGAGGATTACCATGCCCAGGCCTGTCTCAGACCCAAGAACTTCCCAGGTCCATTCCTTGGCTTACCGCTACACCAAAGTCCTTCAGTTTCATCTTCTGTGCAGATATTTTCTGATCCTGGTCAGCCAACAGCACCAGGAGATCATCCTGTTCTTTTTTGGATTCTGCAACTTCTCGCTCCAGCCTATTGTTCTTGTCTTGCAATATAGCAACTGTGCTAGTGGATGAGTCCAGCTGCTGCTTCAGTGATTCCTTCTCCTCAGAAAGGGCCTTGACTTGACTCTGGCAACAGGGGAAATCCCACATCACATTACAAACACAAGCACAGGTAAAGCTGAAGCCCTGTATCCTTCAAACACATCCTGTACACAACCTTCAGCAGCTCCAGCTGACCACTGGTTCCTGTGGCCTTGTTCCCACACACACACATCCTTACACAAGCTACTATAGCTTGGATAAAGCAGGAACAAATATTAACAGTGGTTACTGGACTGTCTCTGCCACAGTAAAGCTACACCCTAGACTGTCCTTATCAAGGCCTTAAAGACACAAATTTTGATTTCCCATGTGAAAAATGAAGGAGGCATCCAGCTTCCCTACCAGAGCCTGAGGATGCTGATGAAACAAACCACTTGCCCCAGCCCTGGCTACTGCAGAGGCCTCCTAATGCAAGGCTGAGTATCCAATGGCCGGGTTTGGTGTTCACCCATTACCCACCTTCAGCTCTTTGATTTCTTGCTCCAGTCGTGCCTCCAGTTCTGAGCTCGTAGCTGCTGGTGCACCACTGTCTCCTAACATGGGATCTGCAGCTGTGTTCTGTGGACAAGGAATTCTCTCTCAGCGTTGCACATACTAAGACAGCAAACTGGGACATCACAGAGTCAGTTCCTTAGAAGCATATTCTCTTCTTACAGCATAGCCAAGGTATGGTATTGAGATACACCCCATGCTGCAAGGCATCAGCAAACAGATCTGTGCTTCCTCAGGTCTCAGACTCATACACACACGTACACACCAACAAGAAGACAAAGCAAAACCTTTATTTCCTAGTAGCTGCACTTGAAATTGGGAGTTTTTTTCCTAGGCAGATCCTATTACAGGCAATCCGCCTTTGCTCTGATAGTATTCAAGTGCCACAGAAGTCTTTTTATTAGGCTAAACATCCAATTTATTAGGCTGAAGTTGCAATTCTTTGTATAAGGCTACTAAAAATAGCAAGTTTCATCTCAGCCAGCCCTACACAAAGTCATTTCCAAAATGCAGCAGCTGCCTGTCAGCTACAACTGCCACATGGCACAAATTTGAGACCAATGCCTCCCAGTTGGAGCACACTTACGCCAGTCCTCTAAGGAAGGGAGCAGTAGGAAGTAGGATGGCCATTAGGTGGCCTGACAGCTGGAGGGACACCAGGACACACCTCTGCCTCCAAAGGCACTGTCACAAGCACACATGGGCAGCACATGAGCAATGGCATCCTCCCTCCCAGCAGCTGAGTCTGCCTCTCCCAGACCCTGTGTACATTGAACACTTGTTTGTCAGCTGCTTGTGGCCCCTCTTCCTGCAGCAGGATTTAGCTGTTAGCTCTGCTGTGGATCTGTCTAGGGAACACCTTCAGACAACTTGTTCAGGCTCTGCAGTCCAACATTCCCTTTCTAAAGCAGTTTATCAGTTTTGAAGACAGACAGATTTACATCGCCACAAGGCTTTACTGCCTCATCCATTCAGTTCACAGGCAAAAAACCTCTGCAGCATTTGGAGGCCTGCACAGACAGATGTCCCTATCATTTGCCCTTCAACTAGACATCTTCATATTACTATCCTCAACTGCTTGTAAGAATAATGATCTCTCTCATGTGTATGGTTATCACAGTTGTGTCTCACAAAGGCTATTACTTTAATTAGAGCTTAAGCTTGGAACAGCCAGTAGTTTATAATTGTTTAAAAATGCCAAGGACCAGTGCCAACAGAGAGAACTAACTTAACTAAAAGTGCCCTCTATGCTCATGAAGGATTTGTCTGGGTAACTCATAAATTAATTTGAAACACTGTTGGAATCACTTGCTGATGTGTGCACTTAAAAGGAGCTTTGTTTAGGAAAGTAGCTACAGACAGTAGCAGGAAGGCAAGCCTTGAAGATTTAGTTCCCATAGACAGAAGAAAGAACTAATTCACCAGTACCATCACTTGTAGCTTTTGATTCTCCATCTGAAGCTTGGATATTTCCGCAGCCTGTAGCTGTAACTGACTCCTGAGCATTTCTAACTCCTTTGGGAAACAGAGACAAAACTTCTCAGTTAATTTGATAAAACAACATATTCACATGAAATTTTCCTAAGGTGAAATGCTCCCAGACTAACTGCTTCACACCAGGAAATGTAACAGGAAAGGTGCCTCAGTGAGACCACAATAGCTTTTCCCTTAATTGACAAGGCTGGACAGCAACACACAGCACTGTCCACCCTGCTTTTCCAGCCCCTCTTCTGTGGAATGGCCAGCAAGGCACTGTCTGAGCCTCAGTCACTTCTATAAAGGTGTTTCACACCACTTGCACTGCCACTGGTGTCCTCTGCACTGCCCCTCTCAGTGCACAAACCCATGATGCCTGGGTAATCCAGGCACCATTAGTTCTCCAAACAGAGGAACTCCAACAGGTATTTCTTGAGCAACAGCTATCTTAAAGAACTGAAAGTCCAGTTCTTTATTCTGTGCTGTACATCTAATACATCTAACCTCATATCAACATTTAAACATACATTCTGTACTGTTTAAAACCATTTTGCAAGTCAGTGCAAGTGTCTTCTGCTGGCTCAAACCTGCTTAGTGAAAACAACCAATTAATTTTTAGATGCATAAACCTGATGCTTCAAGATTAGGATCATCACAAATATGTCTGATGAAAAACAGCAACACATTCAGGAATCAATGTTCTTCCCTGAAGACTACAGCTCTCTTCCCAACCCAAGCCATCCCTGTTCAGCTGCACTGAAATACCACAGGTTCACCTTCTGTAGCTCATTACTGTGCTCCAAGCCACCAAATCTGCTGGTCTGTAAAGACTGCTCTGTAGCTCCCATCTCTAACTGAGAAGAATTCTGAAAGAAAAAGGGGGAAAAAATCAGCTTTAGTACTAGAATTCTAAATGTAGTCATGTTGGCAAAAAAGTCATAGCTGTCCTTGTATTACCAAACTCCCAGCAGAGGAGCTACAAGCAGACTGAGCAATGCACATCAAAGCTCTCTACTGAGAGCAGCTGGTTGTGTCCTCTGAGGTGAGTGCAGAAGGAGGTCTCACCAGTGCAAATGCAGCACTTACCAATTTTTCTATTACAGAATCCTTTTCCTTTAACTGCCCTTGCAGCAGCTCATGCTTGTTTTTCCACTCTTCCAGCTCCTCTTTCAACTTGCTCACTTCTTCTGTCTGAATGCCATTCATTTGCAATGTGTCACCATGGGAATTATGATGCTGGGTGTCCTTTCCTAAACAGCAAGAGGTTACGACCAAAGTCAGACAAGCAGTTCCATAACTTGGTTTCCAGGAGACCAATCAAAGTAGTTGTTACCCATCCTGCTCCTGCCCCACAAGCCCTTCTTGCCATTCCTTCAGCTATGTGTGTCACCTTGCTGCTTCAGCCATTCTGTTCATCAAAAATAATGGCATGGATAAACTCTGAAGGTGATTGACTCATGTTTTTTATCATAAGTAATGATGAAGGCCTTTTGGGTATTTTTAATCATGTCATGTATATCTTATCAGGCATTTTGACCCTGGGATAAGGAGAACATACTGCCCTGATTTACACACTAAATTAGCAATTTCTCTAGTGACAGTAACAGGCTTCATCTTGCACATCAGCCAGACCATCTTCCCCAGCTCACACTTGCATTCCAGACCCAAACTTCAGCCCACTCCAGGGCCTATCTGGTCATGTTCTGAACCTGGACAGGCAGTAACTGCTTTGGATTGACTTGCTCCGAGGCAGAGGCAGCCTCTGCCAGCAGCTCCCGGGCAGCCAGCAGTTCTCACAGCAAGGGTCAGCTCATACACCTGCAAGGCTGTCTCTGCTGGAGCTCTGCTGCAGTTTGCCAGAAGCCACATCTCTGCACAATGATTTTATATTGTCACTCATGCAGCCCACCTAGCTGTACTTTGAGGAGATTGTACTGGTCCTTATGCTGTTGGATCTGGGACACTTGCTGTGTGACTGTAGCCTGGAGCTGTTCATTCTGAGATGTTAAAGTGCTGATTCGCTGCTTTAGTTCTTCAAGCTCCTGGTCCTGTGAAAGAAAAGAGACACCATACTAGATACATACAGTAATCATATATATAGTTGTACTAGTAACTCTTGAATACAATTCTGTCAGGAAGGTGAAGGAAAGCACCAAAACTGAGTTCCACCACCCAGTACTGCCCAGCAAAGCCCCCTGCAAACCAAGCAAACTATGCTAGAAAAAACACCTGGCAAAGACAGCAGCAGCCTATCACACCAATAACAGGAAGAAAAATGGAGAGGTGGGAAGGTGGCTGATTGTAATTTTTATCTAGCATACCAAAGCCTGCATTTGTTTTGTCTACTACTTCAGGAGTCTTGAAAGAAATCAAGGTAACTACACATGACATGTTCAGTAAAACCACTGGTAGTTCCAAAGCATCCTTAATGCCTCATGTACCCCATGCTCTGATCTCTGAACACAGAGCACCTGCTTCAGTTTCCCATTTGCAGTTTAAATAATTAGCTTTGTTCCTCTACTTCTCCATCTAAGCTGCAGCAACCACACAAGTTAACTACCCCTGGAAAAAGGTTTTGAGAGTCCAATCCCAGCAGGTATAGCCAAACTTCACTAACAAACCATTTTTTCATTCAGCCCCATTTCATCTGTCCAAGTAAGAGCCCAGAAGTGAGAATTGCATCTCTGAAGAGCTGCAAGTTCTCCAATTCCTCATTTGAAACGAGAACACCCCAACACAGGTAAGAGCATGTGGTGCAAGGGAAAAAAAAAGGACCTTAACCAGTGTTCCAAACACTGACATTTCAGCTCAGTCTGGACAAGAGCGTTGTTAGAAGCATTTCTGCATTGCTAGAATCCCTGTTACTTGTTTTGGAACAAACCAACAGCTTTTAGAGGCACATGTCTGTGCTCCCTCTTACCTGTTCTCTAATGACTTTTTTGTAGTGAGTCACAATGTTGTCATGCTGTTCCAATGTCTTCTTGACCTCCTCTTCCTTTTTATCTTCCTCACTGGACTTGTAAATTGCTTTACTTATGACACCTGTCAAAAAACAGTTTCTTTCAGCTAGAGCTCAGTTCACATCTTTGTCCTCTAAACAGTCTCACAGTTTGAGGTCACTGCATTACAAACTCAGCCTGCACATTGAAACAGGGATAGTCACAAAGGCTTAACAGAAATGGTGACTTTATTGCAGTGTGCACATTTACTGCTTTTCTCTGTCCCATATAAGTAAATGGGTGTTTTGAGTAATTCCTAAGAAAAAAAGCTGTGCTCTACTTGCACTATGGCTCCACTACAGCTGCAGCCCAAATCATTCTGCAAATAAGTTAAAGACTTAGTCTGCAATAGTAACATGCGGATGAAATTGCTTGGGCAAATCCATCTTGACCATTGCTGCTTTCAGGATTTTTCTTTCTCTAGACTGATTTAAGTTGAGATGAATATTAATAAACAGGACACAAGTGAGATGTTAGACTGATGACAATCATGAAGCACACACTAAAGCAAGTGTCCATTTCCTAACAAGCCAAGAATTTCAGCATTAATTTATCAATTAGAAACAGCAACTGTTTGGATGATGTACTTCAACAAATGAAGCTCCTATGACCATGGAATGTGCTCAGTACTTTAGTTTCTGTGTGAGCACAGGTCAACACCTCTAGGCCAGTGTGCTAACTCACAAAATCTATTGATCATCATTTCACTGAAGAATACCAGGTAATCCAGTTAGAGTATTTTCACTTAACACTTTAACTGCAATTTGGTTATATGATTACTTACAGCTATTACCACAACCTCTGGTGTCATCACACTACTTTCAGGAGTAACACAACATGGTGGGTAGCTCATCCATCAGTACATGATAAAACCTAGAGAAATGAGGATAACATCTCACCTTCCAATTCCTTCACCAGCTTTGTAAATTCATGGTCAAACATCATGTGGTCTGGACTAGAGAAACTAGGCTGTGGTTTCTGAGCAGCTCTGGAATAAAGTTCATGCTTGCTAATGAAGCCAAGCTTCTCAATGAAGTTCTCCCTGCCGATCCTCTTCTCAATCAGCTGCTTCAGTTTCTCTCTACAAGGAACAGACAAATCAATGCTAGTGCAACGACAAGACAAGAAGAGAACCCATCATTGTATCAAGGTGAGTTCTGCAAAGAACTCATCTGTCTCAAGTCTTAATCCCCCTGCTGTCACCCTTCAAAGCCTCTTGAACCACCATGTGCCCTTTCACAGAACCTTTACCAGCAGTCCTGCTACTTCTCCATCATACTTACTTCCTGTAATTCTCAAGGGAATTGTCATTGTAGTAGATGGAAATGCCAAGCAAAAGCGCACACAGGCCTTGGACAAGCTGCTCCTCTTCCCCAAGGTTTTCAGCTATCTGCCCTGTGAGCTGGAACTCTTGATAAGGATATTGGAGATAGTTCATAATCACAACACATGTAACACTTCTCCCTGTACACACTCCCTTTTATTTACACACCAACCCAAGCTTTGTTAGGAAGCAAGACAAAAGAGCTGACAAAACCCTTGCAAAGTTAACTCCTCTTTTGAAGGACTCCGGTGATCAGTGGTTTCCCATAAATTTCTCAGTAGCTGTCTGTTTAGCCTGAGAGATTTACTTGTTCCAGAGCACATCTGCAGTGTAGATAAAGGTGGCAGTTTAGCCTTACATGCTCATGCACTTGACTAGTTTCTCCCTGAAAAGTAAGCAGGGAAGTTAACGGAAGTACAAAGCATTCTCCTTGCCTCTTGAGTGTAAGTTTAATTCACACTAACAACACCAACAGGCTTGTTGCACTGAGAACTCATTTAGCTGGCAGACTGAGACTGTTTTCCACACTGCTTTGGTATGTGCATCTTACACACAAGTCAGTGTACACAGAGCACTGGCAGCTAAAGGCTGATTTGGTCTCTCGGCCCAGGGCATTTTCTGTTTTGCAGAACCCCCACAAAGGGACCTAGACAATCCTTTAAGCTGACCATGAATAACCCAGCTCTGGCTAAGCAGGGGTTTCACTCTGCCAGCAGGCCAAAGGATACAAAAGGCACATTGGCTGGGTTGTGAAGGAAGTGGGTGACAGCAATGGAGCAGTTGCTCAGCCATGTACAAAGCAACATCAGCAGTCCAACTCTGGTCTGTACTTTGCTGCCCTGTGAAGAATAAACACCCCCGTCATTACCTTTCCACAGAGAGGACTAAAATACAAACCCAAGCTGTATTGGATCAGAACTCACCTACTTCCACCTTATTTTTTCATAAACTGCAAGTCATGTCTTTCTAAACACCTGTTTGTTAGTTATACTGAACAGCTTTAATGCTTGGATAAAACAAGGATCAAACCAGTCACATTGAACTGTTCTCAGAGCAAACCAGCAAGCCACACAGGTGTGAAATATTACTCAATGCAAATCAGCACCAATATAAAACCACAACCTGTTAGTTTTGCATTTTTAATACAGGGGTGACATAAGGAACAAGGTGCACATTTAGTCATACAAGGATTCCCTGGAAGATGCATCATCAAGACCTAGCCTGCTGACTTTAAAACTGCCAGGTATTCCTAGTATTATTTTGAATACAAGAACAATAGTCCTGTAATGGCCTTTGGTTCAGACTATATGGACATCAAGCCAGCACAGCAAACCCTAACTGCAGCCTTTTATTTATCCTAGACAGACAAAATTAGTTTTCATCTCCAAATCAGCCGTTACCAATTGTGTCTCAGCTGCAGGTATTTGGGCCCAGCTGAGCTCAGACAAGCACCCATCTCTTCCAACAGTCAACATTCAGATGGCAACCAAGGAAAGTGTTCCCTCCCCCACTTACACACACCGGCTCCAGCTGTCCCAGCAGGATTTGCCAGCCCATGCACACTGGGAATAACCCCTGTAACTGGCAGTGGCCCTATGGCACATGGCTGTACCTCAACCTTCTCCAGCCTTGCTACCTGTGGCCCTTCCCTCTTGAGAAACATGGAGCTTTGTTTCTGCAGCCCACCACTTCAGCATACCCATATGCTGGAAGCAGCTGCAAACCACATTTATTCTACAGCCTGCCTGTTGTTCAGAGGTCAAACTGAGGTGCTCTGCTAAGGATTTTCACAGAGCCCTAAACATCCTCTCTAAAAATCAGCTGTGTTCTAGATAATAGATGATAATAATAGATGATAATAACACCTACTCTGACAGATGACAGCCCCCCCGTGGTTGCTGTTCCACAGTTCAGAGCTAGTAACAACACTGACCTGTGATCAACAGGGTAAAATAACATTTCCACAGCAGAAATACTTGCTTTTTGTGCTGCCAATAACTAACTCAGCTGTGTTTTAATAAACAGCCTGGAAACCAAACAGCTCTGCAGGGATCACGTGCTCATAACGAGATCCCTGCTATTCACAATTAGGCAGGCTAAATGGTTTTTCCTCCAGCATCAGGACATCAGCAGCATATGCCCACTTCTGATGGTACCCTTGTTTGCTACAGGCCCTTCAGGAAACACTGTTTCTAACAGTTTTAGTTTTCCTTAGAAGGAACCCCACCTATTCGGTGAGCAGATGGTCCATTAGTGTGACCGCCAGGAAAGAAAGCACCAGTGCTGCCCAAGGTACACATCCCATAGTTTTGGGAGCACCCCCAGAGATTCCCCTGGAGGCACCAAGAGTTTGTTATGCCAGGGAAAACCCAAACCACTGCAACACAAAGCTGTAAGTGGAAACACATCAAAAAGCAGTTAAAGAAATTCTCCCCAGCAGACCCCAGACAAGAGGGAAAGGCCTGCTTTTGGCAGGAAAACGCACAAGCTGTGCCAAGAAATACATACCCGTCTGTCGATCTTATCACCCTGCAAGTTACACACAGATTACTTGAGAACCTTCCAGTGCAACATTTCAGACACATCCCCCCATACCCAAGTCCCTTTTGTCATGTAGTGCTGAAGAATCACAAGCATTTCTACTGACTCAAATTTACCTTACACAGAAATTCCAGGAACAGGATAAAAATGAATACTGGCAATTTTTAGCTACAGCAGGAGAAAAGGCATAGGATCAAGTTCAAAACTCCAGTGTTATTTTCACCTGCAAAGAAGTCTAATTGCCACCAGAGTGGCAATTACTCCCTGCCAGTAGGGAGCTGGTTTTCTCTCTGAGTGGTTCTAACACAGGTTAATGTCACAAGGAGGCACGGGCCAGGAGGTGAACTTCACTCACTTAACATTTCCCAAGCCAGGTATTAACATACTGAACAAGCTCAGAAAAGTTTTATCTTTGCATAGCAAAGCCAACCATCAATACATGACAGCCTGTTTTTTTCATGATGTTTCCCATTAGCAGGTTCAGGGTAAACACCAAACAGGCACTACTTCAGAAAAAAACATGAGTGGGGATTCTGCCAGTTAAACTTGGTTTGAAGGACAAGGGTAAGACCTGGATGCTTTGGCACCACCTGAGAACAGGCAGCATCAAGGAGTAATGTGATGGACATGTAAGATTTGCTGCCAGCTGTGTGCCTGCCATGCCATGCCCTGCCCACGAGTGCCCCCGTGCCTGTCCCCGGAGCTGCAGCGGGCAGCGGCGCAGTACCTGCGAGAGGATGTTGGTGCACTGCTGCAG